TATCACTCAGTCAGTGATAACCTGAGCTGAACCAAGTGTGTCAACATTGTAAACTTTCATATAAATGAAGCTTATGTGTTCAAGTTCAATAAAGATGATCTTTAGTCAAACATCTGTCTGATCCCCAGGTTTTTGACAGCTAATCCAAGCTTTGCATCACTTCAGACTCCTTCCACCTCCCTGCATGGGAGCTCTGAGTTTCATGAATTTACAAAAAAGAAAAAAAAAGAGACTCAAATACACAATGAATAAAGTCACAAGTTAATATAATATTTTTATGTTGTGGAATTATTAGAGGCATATTTGGAATGAGCTTCTTTACAATAAATTTGAAAATCTTATATGTTAGCACAAAACACTCTCAGCGCCACTCATCACATAAGCAAAGTCCAGAGCTGTCCTTGTCATATTTTAATGCTGGGAGGTCTCACATTGGAGCTATGTGACATAAAGGATTTCCTTAAAATCCAAAGCAGAAGTGAAAGGAGAACTGAAAGACTTCCAACCAAAAGAGAAAGTCTTGGATTGAAGTTTTGCTTTCACTTCGCATTTCCCTTTTTGTTTTTTCACTGTTAGAACTCAGTCGTAGTGGGATGAAGATAGTTAAGATAAAAATGCAAAGTTACACCATTAAACACACTTTAAAAGGGAAAGGTTGTCCAACATCTCGTGTAAGTAACATCTCATGGTGTCCATTTCAGACCCAGAGTGACTGCTGCTGTTCTCATCGTGCAGCAATTCAAAGAACACACAAACCACAAAGTGGCTGCTGACTCAAAACACAAGCAGCTTACAGCAGCCAGATTCAGGTGAACTCTGGGACTTTAAAATCCCTCCACCCCACCCCTGGATCTGACATCAGCTGTTACATCATTAAACATGCTGCTGTAAAAATGCTGAAAAAATGACTACAAAGAGACACAGGAGCTCAACCTGCAAACACAACATGGGAATCAACATTTAAACACATTACACATATTTATACTTACCTAAAAAAAATATATTTTTTTAAAAAAAAAACTCTCTTTCACTCACCTACAGAGCAAGAAATCACGAACAGGAAGACTATGAGGGACTCCATCTGTGACTGCTGTGACTGGAGGCTGGGAAGTGAAGAGTCCGCAGCCTGACCTGCACTGAAAACAGAGATGGTTTCACTTTCACTTTGTAAGAGGGGGAGGGAGAGAGCATAGATGAATATAGATAACTCATTCTTTATTGGATTATATCAACACATGATGGCAAAATATTACACAGACACACACTCAATGGTAAAAAAAAAGAAAAAAAATGGCCTGTATTTATTTGTATAGCGCTTTTCTAGTCCACCCATTCACACACTGGTGATGGAAAGCTACATTGTAGCCACCCTGGGGGCGCACTGAGCATTAGCAACAAGATGACCATTTACAAGAAATCCGAGCACTTCTGAGAAGTGTTACAGTTTATGCTTATTTTAACCAGCAGATGGCAGCACAAGTCACAATATGAGAAACATTTAGTACAATAAGAATAAAGTAATGAAAGTTGTAGTAGTGACTTGTATGATGTTTGCAGACGAATGCAGAGTGCAGCACAGGGACTGTGGCTGCAGTAACTTTTCTTCTGCTTGATCAGTTTAATCCGTCACATTTTATATTATTGTTCAAATAAAACGGACTGCAGTTTGGAAAAAAAATGAGAAATTGTGTAAATAATAGAAGACAAATATTATGTTAAGTCTCATTTGCACCACTAACGCAGCATTTATCCTTGTAGCTTTACTCGTGAAGTGGGAGACGCTCAAACGGTCGGTTACGCGCACAAGACAAAACAAAACGGCCTGTTTTGATCTGAGCGCGCGCAGTGAGAAGCACAAAGTCTGCGCAGAAGGTTTTTAACCTCCTCACACCGTCTCTGACTGAATTTTTTGGTTTTTGGAGCCAGCAAACATAAAAGAAAATATGTATTTAACCCGCTCCAGAGTTACTCCAGAGTCTGAGAGGAAATGATCCTTAACTGTTTAACTGCAGTGAGAGCTGGCAAGTCTCATGGTTCACTTACGCGCAAGTTAACAAATCTAATAAATATGATCCAAACTCTTAGTGTTAGTACAAACTCACCTGCAGACAAAGAGGGTGAGTGCAGCTGGGAACCTCAGATGTCCGAGCAGCCATTTCCGTCTTATTGTTCGGAAGATCCTACTTTTCAAAGTTTGCTAAATATCCAAAGGATGGTGAGATTTCACGAGAACAGGAGATCCCAGTTTTTCAATAAAGCTGAAAGTTTCCGAGCCTGAAAACAGGTGCGTTTGTTTTCAAGTGCGCGCTCAAGTGTCTTTTAAAGGAAGAAGAACAAACTGAGGGCGGGGTCATAAACATGTGCGTAATAACAAAGCGGCAAGTCACTGGATTCAGACCTGATCAACAACAAAATCGATCACTAATCAGTCATCAGTCACATTAAAACCATTATAGAAGCTGATTAATAGAATAAACAGGATTCATGCTCAGATTTAAGTGGATCTTCTCTGACTGTGACTTTGATGTGAGATGTGTCATCTCTTATCCTCCTGTGCATCTCACTGTCTCACATTTAACTGGCTCTAAGCTAAGAAAGTACATTTTTCTGACAACAAAAGTTTTGCCCTGAAACTCAAACATCTGTAAAAGCTGTTTACACCAGCGGTATCAAACATGAGGCTCATGGACCAGAACCAGCCCACCAAATGATCCATTTCAGTCCACTTGAAGTGAGGAAAAGAAAATGAATTATTGTTATCTTTCATTTCTACATATGTAAAATACTCCTGTTTACTCATAGAAATTCTACATGGGAAGGTTGTTGTAAATTGCAACGCAGGCATATTGTTAAAAATTCTCTCAATTTAGCGAAATCAGGCTTCTTCTTTTTTTCCTGAAAAACTAAGAAAGGGGTAGTTTTTTTTTCTACCGGGATTCTTTTAAGGTTTGTTGTTTCAGCATTTTCTTAATTATCAGCTATTATTTCAGTGGTCACCTGAAACTTCTTAACAGTCCCATATTTTTATTCTTAGACTATATAGAGCAACATTTGTGGTCCATTACACTCTGGACATATGAACAACATCTTAATCTAAACCTTTAGAGACCAGAGCACTGACACCAACAGTTTAGAGGTTCAGGAATAAATGCTTTCCAGTCACAATCAGGAGGACTTTGATTATTAATAAAAAGTACTGCTGTGGAGGATGGTGTAAAATCTTTTTAATGCTGGATTGTGCTACTGTGGTTATCCTGGATCAGAAGGAGAGGTTGACATCCAGATGTAGAGTTCCAACAGATGCAGTTTATTTTATATTCAGTGTAGTGGTACATGAGGGTTGGGTATTGTGTGGTTTCTGCAAAATTACAAAAATAAGGAATTTCACAGGCTTCAAACACCCACACTACTGTGCTATTAAGTAGTTACATCACTGCAATTTAGCTGAACATGAATGCAATAAATATATTCTAAACAATTAATAAATGTGCCACAAGAGGGCACTCAGAGCTTAGCTCATATTGGAGCTAAGCTCAGATACAGACGAGAAAAAACTGGTTATGGCTAACCAACCGGATCTAGCAGTGGTGAACAAGCAGAGGAACAGATGTGACTATACTGAGTGACGGCAACATCAGGAACACGAGAACTGGAGAAATATCAAGAGCTGAGAAGATGTGGAGGATAACATCTGTGATGTCTTTATTAAACACTTCACTGCTTTCAGATTCTGACATTTAGATTGAATGAGACAAAGCTTAATTGTGTTTTACAGCCCTGAAAATTTCATGTTTTCATATGTGTTTTACTAATCAAGTTATGAGGGCTAAAAAATGCGTCAGAGATAAGGCGAATTAAAAGGCACCAAGTGTCATGTGTACTCTGAGCTCTGAAACTCTCTGGAACTCTGAAAATAATCACAGTATGATTTTAAAGCTCCCCATTTTCTGTTCAGTCCATTTACCACTGAACAGAAGTTATTATCAGCAGAGTTTAAGTTTAAGTTACGTGTAATTTCAGTGTCACTGAAGCTTCTTTTGTTTGATGGTTGAATATAAAGTGTCTACCCTGTCTACCCAAGTGCTTGTTCACAGCTTGATTGTTGGAGCTTTTTGCTATTGTAGGGTATTAACCTGACAGCATAAAGCACCTCGAAGTCAAACCTACTGTGAAATGTGACTATATAAATAAAAGGGAACTGAATGTGAACACCAGTGCTGTTTCTATATTTAACAGTTGATTCTGGTATTAATACAAGACCTTTGTTTTGAGCAGAAACTTATCCCAACTTATCCATATGACCCTCTGAATGCTACCCAGAATGCAATACATCAGGGTGCCAATTCTTGTAGGGACCATGTTTATCTCCTTAACAACCAAGCTGTTAGCTGCTGTTAACAGTTCGTTGCTTCACTTTGCATATGCAAGGACAACATTTAGCTTGACTTACAGCTGTCAGCACATCTAAAAGATTCTCAAAGGGGTTCAGGTGGGAACTTTGAGATAATCCAATAGGATCATACACAGCATGTAAATACTTGATGTACATTCAGAAATAACATGAAATCATCTTGAGGTGCTCTTTATTGCATCGTAAAGAAAGTAACATTTCAGGCCATTTCCTCCCTCTTATCACTAGGCTTGGCTGGAAACTGCTCCTTACTTCTTTTAAATCTCAGAAATACCATAAACCCAATGACAGCAGTGATGAGAACAATAACAACAACAATCTGAATACTCAGAGTTTCTGCTTTTCCATCATACATGTCTGTAGCTCCTTTTTCCTTCAGCTGCTGTTCCAACAAGGTTTTATCCGTTTCACCTGCAGAGAAAACATCAGCTGTCAGAGTTTTGCTGTTGATCATCCACAGAGTTAGCAGCATGCTATGACTTCACCCATCACATGGTCATCCACCCACTATGTCAAAACTGCACAAAATTATAACTGGCCCAAAAAACTGGGGCGCGATGCAGTTTTCAGGGCGTGTAGACAAACTCACCTGTGACTGTGAGGTTGATGAAGTGACTGATCTCAGTGTGAACTCTTTTACTTCTCACAGGGTTCCTCACAGCTATGTGACACTCATACATCCCAGTGTCATTAAACGTGACCTTCTTCAGGATCACAGAAACGTCTCCATCCTTCATCTCTGGGTGCTTCAGCTTCACTCGGCCATGAAAAGATGGATGTTGGTAGTTTTCATAGGAGCGTTTGTTCCTGTAGAAGTAGACGTAGCCGTCTGTGTTCAGGTCAGCTCTGCTCCACTTCAACACCGAGATTCTTTCATCTGTGGAAATCTGACACTGAAGAGTGACGTCCTCTTCAAGCTTCGCCTGCACATCCTGCTGCAGAAAAGAAAAGAATCAATCTTTTTTTCCCACTGTTAGAACAGGATATTTAAAACTGAACACACCACAGTTGATCCAAAAAAAAGCCTGAAATGATGTCAGAGGAAAAAAGGGCGTTTGTGGTTCCACACATCACAAGTGTGAAAATGTCATGGAAACCTTCTTTCTTTTCATCCAGTGCAGGCAGGTTTTTCTTTTTAAATGTCTAAAAGTACACCGAGATATCTTGAACATGATCATTGTGTTTTATTTATTTATTTATTGTATTTATTAATTCACATTTAGCATTTGTGTAAACTAAAAGTACATTTTCAACCTCTGTGGCTGTAAAAACAAGTCAATCCAGAAGCAGTAAAAAATGCAGGACCTCTAATGTTCACTTACAGCTTCAAAAGAGACTGTTCATATTAACTATTATCTTAGAACGGCAAAATAAGCAGTCTACAGACTTTAAACTGTTTGGGTCTTTGTACCTAATTCCCCCCTTTCTAATAACTCCATATGGATGGTGCCGAGGCTAGAAATGAGGAAAACACTTGATTAACGTGGACCTAACAGAGGTGGTTGTACCTGCCCGCAAGGCTTCACCTCAGCTTTTGTCTGTGGTCACGGAGTCCATTTGAACATCTGTGTTAGACATGATCCTATTATTTGAAGTTGTTCAGGAGATATCGTGTTCACAATAAGATAAATCCTCTGACCACAGGTTCCAGCTCAGTGTGAGTCTGTAAAAGTCCTTCACCAGTTTTTTCCAATTGGATTTAAAGCACTCGTGAACAATATTAGCCCAGATAATGAAACATTATCATCAATAAAACACTCCTCTTTGATATTATTTTGTCCTCGGATACCAAGCATGTGATCACAAATGCCTTGTAAGGCTGTCAGATGGTTTTCACCTGAGCACACATCTGTGATGATGTGTTTGATGTCCAGTCGGTGGTCCCTCTTTGCTTTAAACTACCTCCTGCACAAAAGATAGTGACTGATGTCAGACTGATGTTAATGATTTTCATTTCACACACATTCAGCGACATCCTGAGCTGAACTGAGAGCAGCATTAACAGTTTAAACCTTTGAGGAAATGCTTCTTCTGTGAGATATTTTTCATTTCCAGGTAGTCTCTTAACACGTTTAGACACAGGGATCACATTTTAAACATGAACACAACTAATAATGTTAAAATGATAGTTTAGGAAAAACATGTTTTCTCATATTAGAGTAAAATTTTTAATGATTTAGATCACCACAACTGTGAAAATCCCACGCGTTATCATGAATCACTCTCACATCAACTCATCGTTGCATAGTAAAATCCCCCAATAATAATGGCTATTAGAGTCATGGGACAGATGAGATTTCCTCAGAACCTCTAAAAAACTCCCCATCTTATCACAGTTATGGTTGAAATACACAGTTTACCATGTTAAACACACTTTAAAGAGCAAACTTCTCATATTTGATACAATCCCCTTTGACATCTCGGGGGGCTCTAGAAGCAACAATAAGCCTGCCTTCTTGGTGTTGATTTCAATGACTGACGGGCTGCTACTGAACTCTGTCACAGCGTCGTGCATGGTAAAAATTATCACTTAACAAGTGTCAGAAGTGTCAGACTTGATAACAACACATCTTGCCTAAGCATTAGTGTGAAAATGGATAAAGACAAATGGGCTGTTATAGCTTGCTAACGCATTTTTACCAGGGCCGTATTTTGAGGGGGGCATGGACTCGTAAAACTGCTTTCAACATCTTAAATATCTGAACATCTGAGTAAACACTATCCCAGGATGGATGAAGTGGAAGTTGTAATAAACCCATTAAAAATGTATGTTAACCAGACGCTAGACTTTGATGAGAACTCTAAAAAATGAACTTAAAATAATCATGGAAAGGATTTCCACATTTCATCAAATTGGAATAACAGAATTGCATAATGCTAAAAATAAATAAATAAAGCAATTTAAAATACGTGGAAATTCTTTCCATGATTGTTATTCGAAGAATAATTTTTTTTATTCTTTTTTTTATTTTATTTTATTTTTTTAGAAATTATTTTTTGAGTTTCATTGTTAAAGACTTGAGTGAACTGAACTCATTGCCTTAATCAAGATCTATGAAAAGTGACAGGGAAAATACATTTAGTCATGTTTTGAACAATTCAAGTTAATTTTTTTCTCTACACGGAAAAAAAATAATTTAGTTAGGCTACTCTTTTTAGTTTAGCTTTGAAGTTTGACACGAATTAAAATATAAACATGCTCAGTTTCACTCCATTGCCTGTGTGTGAATGGGTGAATGACTGAATGTAGTGTAAAGCGCTTTGGGGTCCTTAGGGACTGAGTAAAGCGCTATACAAATGCAGGCCATTTACCATTTCACTCACCTATAGATGAAACAATTAGGGATAAATACAGGAAGATTATTAAAGAAGTCATCTAAAGTCTGATAGTTGGACGAACACGGCGGAGCAGCTGCACACTGAGCAGAACAGGAGGAAGACTCTAAAGCAAATGAAAGCGAAGAAGTCACAGGGTTTCAAAGAAGTTATTCAAAACGACACAGCTGTCACACCTCTATTTACGAGGCTGCTTCACGGAAACGATACCGATTAGCTTGCAACGAAGCGGCTGATCTAGCGCTTAGTAAAGCGCATTTCCCCTGTAAAAAAAAAAGGGGGGGGGGGAGAAAACACAAGCTACTGAAAAAAATCACTGGGAAAAACCTAATTGTATTAACCTCAGCAGCTCAATGTGACTGCGCCCGTCATATTTCAGTCTGATCTGTTTAAATACAAGTTTGAAATTAGAGTTGTATGTTGAGCTTCGATGGATGAACGTGTTCGCTTCAGGCCCGGATACATGCTGTGTCCTGTGGAGCGACAACAACAGAAACAAGAAATCCTCAGATTTTGTGTTTTAAATGTTCTGACAGCAGCAGATGTCGCAAACAGCGAGATGGACAAATTCAGTCTTCACTGGGTAACCATAGTAACTCTTCTGACTTCCAGGTTAAAATCAGCTGTAATCTTCAGTTTCCCTTCTCAGTGTGTTTTAGGCTGTTTGTAGATTCTGTGCCGTAAGAACGCGGTTTATAACGCTGCTGAACCGTGTCTTACGTTTCTCGCTCAAAGTGTGCGCGCACAAAAGCTTCTCGTTAATGCCCAGCAATGCTTTCGCATCTCATTTGCACCACTAATGCGTCATGTTTCCTCGTATATTTAAAGGCTTTACTTTGTAGCTCTCTGTCAGCTGTTTTCTGATCCTTTCTCTGAGTGAAGTGGGAAACGCTCAAGCGGTCGGTTACGCGCACAAGACAAAAACAAAACGGCCTGTTTTGATCTGAGCGCGCACAGCGAGAAGCAGGAAGTTTTTTAATTTCCTCACATCGTCTCTGACTGAACGTTTCTGTTTTTGGAGTCAGCAAACAAAAAAGAAAATATATATTTAACCCGCTCCGGAGTTATGGTTTCCTTAACTGTTTATCTGCAGGCAGGTCTCACATGGTTTACTTATGAGCAAGTTTGGAAATCTAATAAATATGAAGAAATCGCTTATGTTAGTTAACGCTCACCTGCAGACACAGTGAGTCCAGCAGAGACGCTCAGATGTCCGAGCAGCCATTTCCGCTTCAATGTTCCGAGTTTGAGAAATATCCATAGGATGGTGAGATTTCCCCAAAACAGAATATCCCAGTTTAAACCCTGCCGAGGAGTTTAAAGAGAAGTTTTTCAATACAGCTAAAAGTTTCTGAGCGTGAAAACAGGTGCGTTTGTGTTCAGTGGCTGCTTGTCTTTTGAGGAAGGAGAACAGACTGAGGGTGGGGTTATAAACACGTGCTAATAACAAAGGGGCTCAAGTCAATGAGCTAAACGTCTGGATTCAGAGCTGCTCAACAACAAAACCAATCTATCATAAGTCACATTAAAACCATCATAGAAGCTGTTTAGTCGAATCTAAAGGATTCATGCTCAGCTTGAAGTAGATCTCTGACTGTGACCTTCCATCATACTGACAGTGGCCCACACTTGATTGGCTCTAAGCTAAGAAAATGAACATGTCTGCCAAGAAATGTGTGGCTAAGAAAGTGACGTGGAGTCAATCATGAAGCTCAAACAAGATCTGCAGTTACAGTTTAAAGCAGTGGTGTCAAACACGAGGCCTGGGGAGCAGAACCAGCCCACCAACAAAATGAATTTAGGCCGACTGGAGTTGAAGGAGTGAAAAATTATACAAAACTAGAATATTTCCAGATGTAGATATAAAAAAGAAAACCATCATAAAAAATTGGAAATAAAAAATAGATAGAAAATGTGACTCATCATAAAAAGCAAATGTATTAATCAAATTGTTTAAGTTGGGTAAAGGATTCATGTTTTAGCTTTTTTTTTCCCAGTGTCTCGTTATTTATTACTATTTTCAGAATGTAATTCCTTAAATTAAAAAAGGAAACTATGGCAGGGTGCACTCTACTAGTTAAAAAAACAAAAAACAAAAACTCAAGTGTTCAGTCAGTGGCGTATAACACCGACACGTGCTTTCCATTCACAGTTAGTATTATTTATTATTAATAAAACACTAGTATCAGCACATCAATAAAAAAATGAAACAGGTTTTTTTTTAATTTTACAGTTTATCTGAAGGAAGTAGTGCAGCTTTGTACTGTACACCATAAACTGAACAGTGTAAATGTCAAAGGGCAAACTGAATTAAAAACAGCCATAAACTGTGTTAGCATGGAAAAATACACTATCTGCTCCAGCCTGCAAAATAGCTACACAATCTTAATCTCAACAAACAGTGATGAACACTGTAACACAGGAACATGAGAGTAAATCAACAGAAAGGTCATCTGACAAGTATGCGAGTGGTTGTGCTTTGCTACACTAACATTTGCGCTTCTTTTAAAGTGGAAATGTTTTGGTCATTTCACCCGAGTACTCATATTGTGCCAGAGCTACTTATACCAGAGTAGCTTTGCATGCAGTTCAAAATGAGAAGCCCCTTGGTGTATCCCTTATCAGATAGAATCTATCTGAAATGAGCTGTTTAACTCCTCCCTCTTCAGCATAACTTTCTTCTGATTGGCTGAAAGAGTTAAAAAGCAGGTAGGCGGGGCTTCTGCACTGCAGGAGCTTTGTGCACTCACACCAGTATCTGTGAAGAAAGAGGAACTTACCACTGATGAAGAGATGAAAAAGTTAACAACAATTTTTAAACAGTACAAAAAACTGGATAACTGAAGGGAAGTGGTGCTGTTCAACTAAAGAAATGAATACTGAAAATATCTGTTGTATCTGAGCAAAAACACAGAGGAGGTTGAGCCTTAGCAACTTGAAAACATTACACACTCTAAATGTGGTTAAGAAAAACAAACAAACATGCAGCTGTGCGTACAGACATAAAGATAGAAACTTTAAAATCCAGCAAACAATAAGCTAATGCTCTTCTCTTATCACATTTCAACCCGTAAATGACAAAACAAACACTAAATCACAAAGAAGATGAGCTTGTTGTCCTCAGTGTCATGTTTGCAGTTTTCTCCGTCTCCTTTTTGTCCTTTTGTAAAAGTCTCCATATTTTTACTGTTTAAATATGCAGTTATAGTGTCAACATTTAAAAACTATATTGTGTTTTTCAAAAATGTCCTCATTTACTGAAGTCATACATGAGGAAACTGATGATGTCATCTTCTCCAGCTTCTTCTGGTAAGCTGGTTCCATACAAGCAATGATAAAACCACAACACAGACTGATGCAACAGTCAACAACACGGTGAGAAGTATAGAGGCTCCAGAAGGTTTGGTGGTGTGTTTCTCTAAAATAAATCAAACACAGTCATTAAGTTGTCGTCACATTGTGAATGTTGAAACCTGCAGAAACACAGACAGGTGAGTGTGTCACCTGTGACAGTGATCCAGCTGGATGGAGACTCTCCATGACCGCTGATGTCACACTTGTAGAGGCCTTCATCAGACCTGGAAACATGCTGGATGGTCATGTGACCTGTAGGCTCTTTCCCGATGAAGACGCCATCTTTATAGAAAGCAGCTGGGAGGTTGGAGGGAGTGGTCTTTGTTTTACAGAGCAGAGTGACGTCATCTCCCTCCATCACAGGGAGGACAGGACTCTGCAGGATCACTGATCCACCTCAACACAGAGACAAACTACAGCATTTCATCCATTTACACACAGCTTCATCAACACTAACTCCACACACTCAGCTTACCAGTGACTGTCAGGTTAACCATGTTATACATACATGGTTAACCTCACAACCTGTATACATATATACAGTATATGTATATATGTATATATATACATATATACATATATATACAAGGACAGGCCCCTGCACGGTATGTACCACCACCAGATAGAGGAGGTGGCTGATATCCAGAAATCCTACCAGTGGCTGGACAAAGCTGGACTGAAAGACAGCACAGAGGCACTAATCATGGCAGAACAAGAACAAGCTCTGAGTACAAGATCCATAGAGGCTGGGGTCTATCACACCAGGCAAGACCCCAGGTGCAGGCTGTGTAAAGATGCCCCAGAGACAATCCAGCACATAACAGCAGGGTGCAAGATGCTAGCAGGCAAGGCATACATGGAACGCCATAACCAAGTGGCCGGCATAGTGTACAGGAACATCTGTGCCGAGTATAACCTGGAAGTCCCGAGGTCAAAATGGGAGATGCCCCCAAGGGTGGTGGAGAATGACCGAGCTAAGATCCTGTGGGACTTCCAGATACAGACGGACAAAATGGTGGTGGCTAACCAACCGGACATAGTGGTGGTAGACAAACAGAAGAAGACGGCCGTAGTGATCGATGTAGCGGTTCCGAATGACAGCAATATCAGGAAGAAGGAACACGAGAAGCTGGAGAAATACCAAGGGCTCAGAGAAGAGCTCGAGAGGATGTGGAGGGTGAAGGTAACGGTGGTCCCCGTGGTAATCGGAGCACTAGGTGCGGTGACTCCCAAGCTAGGCGAGTGGCTCCAGCAGATCCCGGGAATAACATCAGAGATCTCTGTCCAGAAGAGCGCAGTCCTGGGAACAGCTAAGATACTGCGCAGGACCCTCAAGCTCCCAGGCCGCTGGTAGAGGACCCGAGCTTGAAGGATAAACCGCCCGCAGGGGCGTGCTGGGTGTTTTTTATATATATATGATTGGAACAGAATTGTCTGAAGCGTTTGGTTTCTATAAGCTCTAAAAAGTTGAGTTCTCAATTGAAAAAGAGGTTAAAAAATGCTCTTGTGCCCTTTCACATGATATATTACTCTATATTAGAGATGGCACAATACCACTTTTTTATGTCCGATACTGATACCGATATCATAAATTTGGATATCTGCCGATACCGATATGAATCCGATATAGTGTTTTTTAATCAACAAAACTGTTTTTTAAATATCTTGCTGCATTTTGTATAAGTTCATACTCAAGTTTAAAACAACAACTACACTAAAGCTATTCTGTTATACCTGTATGCAAAAAAAAGTATTTCATAGTTCAGCAATACTGATCAATCTAATAAACTTAAACCTACACCATCCTCCCTATTTTGGTATTTTAAAGAGTACTTAGCATAAATATTAAGCAACCTAACTAATAGGGTTCCAACTCCCAGCAACAACAAAAATAAATAAATAAAAAATAGGGAACCACCCCTCACGCTCCACCTCATGATGCTTAATCGACGTAATCAACCTTAATTTGATGCAGTGTGAAAAAAAAATGCACAGAAATCAATTATTTTTCAAGAAATATTAAATAGGTTCAACATCTTTCTTCAACAGAATTGCAGACTGCACAGATGGTACCTTCCCAAAGGAAAAAGTACTATAGCTTACTAGGGTATATATATTAGACTTAATAGTTACTATATACAATAATGGACTTCTATTCATTTTGCATCAAATTAAAACTTTGGGTGTCAGATAATTATTTATTAAAAGCTAGACATTTTAAATGAGAATAAGAAAGAAAAGTATGTCTTTGTGCCCCCTTTTCCCTGTTAATGCCCTATCGGCCCCCCTGGCTAAACTTTGCTAGATCCGCCCCTGCACAGTTACCAGCGTCAGCTACGTAGAAAAAGATCCTGAGTAGAAAGTAATATTAAATACATTCTAACAACAGCTGATCAAGCTTAAACGTGCTGCTGTTGTTCAGCCGCTGGTTTCCTCTTTCTGGTGCAAAGTGGGCCAAAAGCAAACTAGAGACACGGACTCGCGACAGAAAAGCCGATCAGCTGATCGTTAAGCAGTTTCATGATTGAAGTAGCAGCAAGAAGAGGCAGTCGTTTGTTAAGCTTAACGCAGGAATGCTTTACAAACATTCAGAGATGGACTTACACACTTGCTTTACTTCTCTCGGGATAACTTTGTCGGAGATGAAATGCCGGGTTGCTAGCGAAGCTCCAAATGCTATCCAGACCACCGACAGGTCCCGCATGCCACAGCCGCTCTATCACGTGATGCATACTGCTAACGTTCTGAGGTGAGTTATGGCGTGTTGCAAGTTTTGTGAGGTGCTTTCGTGATATTTAATGGATCGGATTAAATTTTTTATTTTTCTCCGATATCCGATCCAGTAATTTAGGTCAGTATCGGACCGATACCGATACGTAATATCGGATCGGTCCATCTCTACTCTATGTGGGTTATTTATCTTTTTGTGAAGGTCAGCTTTGACCCTGGGTCTTAGAAATGAAGGGTCAAGTTCAAGTGCTTAGTCAGGCTAAGTAAAGCCTAGTATGTTGTTCACAAGTTTGAAGAAGAT